GGCTGGCGCGCCCCCGTCGCCGCCGCCGCCGCCGCTCGTGGCGCCGCAGCCGGCGCCTGTTGGGACCATAACCTTTTACCGCAACGGTGTTTCGCTCGGCACCGCGTTTGCCAACGTGCGCGTGCTGCAGCACGGCGCTGCCTACTTCCCCGGCCTCAGCCTGTCTCAGGGCGAGCGCTGCGACGTCAACTTTGGGCAGTCGCCGTTCGTGCACCCCGTGGGCGGCCACCGCCCGCTGCAGGCGCCGCCGCCGCCGGCCGCGGAGGGGTACTTCCGCGCCGTGACCAGCGCGCTCGCGCGCCTGCTGCTGCTGCGCCTGCGGCGCTGCGCGGGCGCCGCCTGCGGCGGCGGGCGGGCGTGCGCGGGCTGCGGCGCGGGCGGCGGCGCGGCGGGGGTGACGGCCGGCGAGGCAGCAGCGGTGGAGGGGCGGTTGCTGGAATTCCTGCGGGCCGCGCGCGCCGCCGACGCCGCGGCGGCCGCGGATGCCCGCGCCGCGCATGCAGCCCGCGGCGGGGCCGACGCGCACTCCAGCGGCGGAGGCAGCGGCGGCACGGACGAGCCGGGGCCCCCAGATTGGCCCGGCGACGATGCGTTCGCCTTGCTGGCGGGCCTGGTGGGCGACCACCTGCTGTGGCTTCTAGAACATTCCGAGTGGTGGCTGCACGCGCACCTGCTGCCCCTGGTGCTGCGCGTCCACGGCCTCGAGCCGCCGCACGCCGGCGGCGCGGCGCGCGCGCTGGTGCAGCTCTGCCAGGTGGCGGTCCCGGCGGAGGGCTTTGGGAAGCTGGTGTGCGCGCTGGGGCGCGTGCTGGGCCACTACGCCTCCATGGCGCCCTTCCAGCGCCCGCCTGGCGCCGACCAACAGCATCAAGGGCAGCAGGCCCAGCAGGCGCAGCAGCAGGATAAGGCGGGCGCGGCCGCCACGGGGTCGGGCGGCGGCGCGCACGGCCTGCAGCAGCTGCTGCCGCCGCCGTGCGGCCGCCAGGCGCCGGGCGTGTTTGCGGCGACGGGGTTCTCGTCCATCAGCCAGCTCTCGCACACGGGCGCATACCCCTTCACCTCGGCCCTGGCGGCGATCGTCGCGCTGCCCGACGCGGCGTCGGCCTGGGCGTTCGGGCCGCAGTGGCTGGGGCAGATGGAGGCGGTGCTGAGCAGGAAGCTTCCCACCCTGGACGACCTCAAGGAGCTGATGCCGCACGTGCCGCGCTTCGCGTCAGGCGGCAGCGGCGGGGGCGGAGGCAGCGGCGGTGGCGGCGGCGGGGC